AACTATGGCCTAGGGTGATGAAGCATTGTGCTCCTTCGCCCAGCCCTTGCCGAATGAATTGTGAGCTGCGTTCCCCCTGCCAGCGCGCTCTCTCCCATCGTTCATATGTGGGTGAGGATGTCCTCCAACATGTCTGCATTTTGGCAGCAGCGAAGGCTCTGTAGATGGCCGCGGTGGTCTCGGCGGCGAGTGAGCATCCTAATCGAATAAGCTAGTTGACTCACAATAGCTCTGAGATTCATGTTGGGCCTCTCATATCGAATTACAATTAGGCAGAAGCACTTCTACAAACTATGTCATTTTCGAAACGAGCGTCGCACGCACGCTCCGCGCCCGCCTGGTCAACTCGTGACCACAATAAAGAGGCATCTATCATCCGCCATTTTGTTAATTTTCTCTTCGTCGCCGCTTCCCAGCGTGTCGGAGAAATTCAATCCACTACAAACAGGAGAGTTTCAAGCGTTCTCACCTGCGAATATCGAGAGTGCTCTCCGAAGAGGACACCGGATACCTTTCAATGAAGAGATCGGAGCGAGCGGCGGCGCTTCGAGGAGGCACAGGGATGGAGGAGAACGACGACGACGAGAACTCGGGGTAAGAGACGCGAATTTCGTGCACGATGGTAATTTATCATCGGCGAGCCATATTCAATGCGTCAGTTATGTTTGCTCTTTTTCACATTCGAGATCTGGATCGAGTGTCACGGCTTCATCGAGACGCCGATCAGAGTGAATTCCGATTGGCCGGACTGAAGCTCTCGAAGACCCATCCGAAAGGGCTCGGTCTTTTGGAACAAACAGATTTGTAGTCGGCTGTGAGGTTTTGAGGAAATGGGGGGGTAAGGGTCGCTGACGTCCACTTAACATCGCACCTCCTTTTCAAGGAATCGAGTGCGTAGTTCATATTACCCTTAGTTACTCCTGCGTTTGTGAGTGCTAGATGTCGATGAATGAATCTGGCCTGACGGGATGCCGGTTCCGAGCCTCGCCCGATCCTTCTTTGGATTCTCGAATAATTGAGACTAGAGTTCAGATTGGAGCTCACAGATTCCGAATGTCTCGAATCCATCTCTCGAGGGGGAACCGATTCTGTCTATCTGCGGCGCGGCGGTTCGAAAAGGCATGCAGATGCGTAGCTTTCCGCCCTCGGAATAAAAGACCGCCGTGATCTCTATCAGCGAAAAATATCTACCCGGCTCGTGACTCGGCGACTTGTAAGGGGAAATGGAACGACAAAGTGACCCCGTAAAGTTGGTTCGGGACAGCTTTCGTGGATCTTACTCTACTACTCGGTGGAGTTTCGCGTGTGAACTAACGCTCTCTCACTCACTCAACCGATCGGCCTTATTCTCACAAGCTACCAGGAGGAGAAGGAGAAGTCAGAGTGGTAGAAACACAGCGGAGTGTAACCGATTGTCTTTCGACACATATCCGAGAGATGCATAAATCGCTCGAACATCGAATTGAGATAGCAAACCAGAACTGCAAGAAGAACATCGTCAACGGGGGAGATATCCGAGAATAAAAGTGAAGCGGCACGCTCGTAGCGAATTTACGAGAAACTTATATCAGCGGTACCGTGACACACATTTACCCAAACAGACACATACGCGTCTGACGAAATCGTGCTTTTATCCGGGACGCCTGACGAGAAGCAAAGCTGAAAGTCGATGGATGGATGAAAGAACGAACGCGCGAGCGAGTGAACGAACGCTCCTCCACTCACCGGGGAACAGGAAAGCGTTTTTGAGGAGAAGAGAGGTCAAGGAGGATGAATCGGAGCGACTTGGTTCGATGCCGACAAGGATCTCTCCTCCACGAGGTGCTGTTCGTCCCAATGTCTGTTTGTCGGCGGCACTTGGGTGTCTATGTGACTCTAAGCAGTCATCGAGCCAGCGGAAGTGGCATATAAAAAGTTGAAAGCTTCGACTTCCGGAACAGCACGCGGCGATCGGGATGCGCAGTTCAGCCAGCAGCGCTGCGAGCGCAACTCAACGATGGATACGCACGTGGATCAACGAGCTCTGTAGGAATTCAGTGAGGCACACCCTCGTATTGTGTACGTGGGAAAGGAGCGTCTGAAGTACGAGCACAGAACCCCGGGGCGGAAACGAGGGAGGTGATGGCAAATTGGCGGACCAACCAACGAGCGAACCAATGCAGCAGCAGCATCAAGAAATGAGCGCGTGACACCTTCGTCATAAATTTCGTCCCCTTCTGTCTCAGTTGCGATGACTCCACGGGTAACCTCGTCTCAGCGGATCGAGAAAGTCGCTCATTCGAGACTCGAAGCGAGCGAGGTCGGGGCCTCGAAAGGATGAATTCCTTCAGAAAGCCGCGTCTATTCGACTTCCTTGGCCCATTCGACGGAGAGACCCACCGACCCACTCAGTCGAACTTTCTTCGATCCCGGACTTGGACCTCCCGCTCCTGTTGTCCATCTAGAAAAAAGAAAATCCGTCTCGAGCTTCTGGAGTTTCAACGGATCGTGTTCTAGGAAACGGAGGCCTCCGAAGATCGAAAGAGGCAAGACGCGCCCGGGGACTTGCCGATTCTCTCCTTCAGCCGATTAGTGAATTCGACGAGGGGCGAGGGAAATCGGGGCGCATATGATTTTTCCCCCAGAGAATCCGAAGCCATCTCGGTTCTCATAGCTCAATGGCTTCACGCTCTTCGACGACGACCGCAGCGGCTGCGGCGATGGCAGCAGTCACTATGTACGTTCCCTAAGGTTACTCGTCGGCAATTACTCACGCGCGAAGGGGAGGGGCAGGAATCATGGAGAGCGGAATCGCAAGAGTTATTTAATCAATCAATTGTGCTTTCCGCTCGCTCGTCAAGGATTCACTAGGACGCTGTTTCTTACTGGCCGGATCGCTAATTCTGTCGTTCTCTCCCCATGGATACAAGGACTCGAATCCTCACTAAAATCATATTGACTCCGGCACGAGCCGGAAGCAGAATCTCAATGGCCAGAGTTCGTTCGCACACGTGTACTCGTTGACTTGTTCGTTCCTCCGCTCACTACCAACACACGCTTCGACTCGGAGCACCATCAAGTTCCTGAGAGTTCATTTCGTACATCATCGATCCGATTCCTCCGAAGGGTGCCGCGAAGGACGCTCCTCGGGATGCTCCATGAAGAGTCGTTATGCCTCCTCGCCCGCTGTGAGGTGCACGACGATGAGTACGTACATCCCCTGAGGTCCCTCGCGTGAATTGAGAGCTCCAGCTAATACACGAATTCCGTGACAAATAAATGCTTTCGCCATCGGAGGCGAACGAGGAACCTGTGAACCGCTCACGAATGACAATGTCGCGGAGAATGTCTGTGTTTTCGTCTCGACCATTTATTCTCGGATTGGGAACGAGATTGTGCGGTTGGGCTAAAACAAAGATGACGAAACCCGAAGGAATTCGTGTTTTGTCGAATCACACGGATTCCACGATGGCGGAAGCGACACCGACTCATGAGATTTATCTCGTCCGAGTCGTCATCGAGAAGAACAAGCGGGATGAGAAGAGAAGCCATATTAAATTGGCCTAGAACATTCCAATATACAGATGACTGACAGGTAGTACACGAGGATATGATCTGCGGGCCCTCCTTCCCCTTCTTCCATCACTTAGGCTGAACTCACCGATGATCCTCTCGCTACTCCCCCGAGCTGCCTTGTCATCGTAAGCCTAAAATATCTCGTTGAGCAATGTGTATAAGTTGTGTATCCTCTACAAGTCTCCGCTGACTCGGCCTAATGTTTCATAAATGTATTCTAGTCTGTCCCTGGATCCCGGAAGGATAGGGCGAGGCATTATTCATTTCCTCCCTCAACTTTTTCTGCCACCTCATAAGCACTCCGTCGAATTGCGCAAGATTTCGAGCGATTGTCTCTGTGACCAGAGGAGGAAACCATTCGGATAGGACTCGTTTGTGTCAATGTGGGGAGCCTTTCTGCCGATGGGGCACAGGGTGCACAATTGCACTCACAATTGTCAATAAATAGATAAACTAATGAATGAATAACGCCATCGATTATTCAATAAAACGAGATCACTAGCCTTGGCATGTCGAAGATACATCGAACGGTTCGTGGAAACACACCGGTAATCGATACCGAGCTCACTCAGACGGTTCAATATGCGATCCATCCAAATTTATCGGCACCCAGATTCTTTCTCCAGCATCATCCATCGAGTTATTCGTGGCGTCCCGACCTCGGCATTCTTCGGGAGCGTGGGCCTCGATTCTTCACCGTCGAACACTTATACACGTAGAAGTATCATATTTGTCGTGTATACTCGCACGATTTACGCAAGTCTGTCGCTTTTTATATTCCGCTCTCCCTCTCCCGATCTGATACCGAATTTCAATGTGGATTTCACGTTCTATGCAGCGCTGCGACCGCCTGGGATCGGTATCGGCATACTCGAATGCCTGACATCGGTCGGGAACACTGCAGTATGACGCTGTGCGAGCCATGGTCCAGGGTGTGATTAACGGCCGCGACTGAAGAAGAGTCGCTCACTTGTCTCGGAGGAATGGGCCACCGAGCTTCGCAAAAATGGCAAATTATGAGAGAGCCTTGCATCGAGGGGTTCGTCGCTCGCTCGCTGGGTGTCGGTCTCACTAACCAGATAGCTAACCAGCGGAGCTGACTGAGCTCTGTCGCTCACTCGCTCGCTCGCTTGCAGGCTCTAGTGGCATTCATCATATAAACCTCAGCGTCAAGCTCAGGCGTCGCTGTCCACAGCAAGCGGTCTGTCAAGTTGAGTGGATAGTGCCATTACAATATGAATACGAGTCCATATAGATTTATCGTATATATGTACATAAACTCGTGCGATCCCCACGTATGTATAAGCGAGCCGAAGTGAGACGCGGTCAGTGAGCTTTCGCCCAGTGATTCGAATTCGATTCCGCCAGGAGAATTCTCAAGAAGATTTTCCGTCCGATGGAGGGAAGGTTGCTCATAATTTCGGGGGAATTTCCCCTCAACCGACCTTTGCCGATATGTTGATCCCGCTGTGCGAGGTCCCTGCAGTACTCCAATGCGGTCACTGTCTCAACCACTTTTGTGACAACTTCACGCACTTCATAGTCCACATTCTCACTTGTCTGACGATTGTTGATCCGGGGAGCATTGATAATCTGTACAGCTGGCTCACATCTCTTTGATATGATTACGGAAACTGCATTCGATGATTTGTGTAGGAAGTCCTGCGGTTTCACAATCACTATTTTCTGCATTGGGAGTATCAGCCGGGTCTGAGTGAGGACCTGCGAGCGAAAGATTCGGTCGACGAACGATCGATACACGGATTAACGGCAATAATTCCTCATTGTATTGATCGGAGGAAGTTGTATAGCCTCAGCTCCTTAATAGCCTCACCTGAGGTGGACCTTTGTGCACGTAGTCATGGTCGAGCCACGGGTCTTGAGCAAGCGGAGCAGGTGGCGATGGCGAGGGTGAAGTTTCTACGATTTGCAATGGAATGCTAAGATCCAGACCCGGAGATGGCGAACTCGGTGGTCGCAGCGGGGTTCGGGTCAGCACTGCCACCTGTTTCCCGCTGCAGATGACGGATGTCGCTGCAGTACTCATGATCCGCCGTTTTTTCTGTGGATGGAGAAGAAAAAAACGATCTTATTAGGATCTGGCATGAACTCCCATGCAGTGACACGGAACCCGCTCCTCGAGATGAACCGAAAAGAATAAAAGAGGTAGCTCGCTCGTGACTCTGGGAGAGACGCAGAAGAGGAGGTCGTCAGAGGTCTCAAAGTACTGAAACGATAACCCGCCGTTTCCCTCCCGTCCTTCTGTAGGAGGGGCGTGTAGAATACATCGCCTCGTGATTCTGATCCCACGAAATCTCTGCCTGGAGTTCTCAACAATCCCCGCATGCGCAAGTTTCTCCAATCTAAGTCAACGAAAGACCAAATGTTCCCTTTTCTCACATCGAACGAGTGTTCCTTGATTTTCGACTTCCTATTTTCGGGCGGATTACAGCTGGAACTAAGAATGCACCCGAGCGGCGAACTCTAACTGGACTATGATAAGCCGTTCCCGAACATCAAGGTACACAGAATTACGAGTAATTATTATACAAAAACCAAGCCAGCCTTCGTAGGTGGAACGATCCCTCGAATGCGAAAACAACAGTTTCGGCAGAACGAGTTGCAGCTCGACGGCGCCTAAACCAATCCTGGATTGGATAGAAAACCGAAATGGGTGGCCGCTGACCAATGGCGTATGGCTGTAGCTGTTCGCGCGTGAGGGTAAAGCAATTGTTTTGGCAGGTTGCGAGATTGCCGTACGAGTTGTAAAGCTCAACCTGCCGATCTATCGCACCATTGGTTGCTCGATAGTAGAGGTCGCAGTGCTGGTGTGGCGTAACGTGTGATTGTATGGGGTCGCATCTCAAGAGGGGGAAGGCGAGGCATTGGCGTGACCGTCATCCGAAGAACCCCCTCCACCCCTAGGCTCCGAGGCTGGAAATTTCTCCGCTGGATAGACTCTATCAGTGAAAACCCGAGAACCCCGATCGGGAACGTAGCGGCTGACTTATTCACCACCGGCGTGGGCGGGCAGCATCCAAACCGGATCATCGGACATCGAGGTACCTGCCCGTCCAGACGCTATTAAGGAGTGCACGAGGTACACGGAGGCCGTTCCGGCTACGATGCCGCTGGTTCCTGTCTCCTGGGAGAGACGACATATCGAATGACAAAGGTGTGTGTTACTCGGCTCCGGGCGGCCGCTCTCTAACCCCCGGCTGCCAACCTAATATTCACTCGTAGACACCGAGGCGTACATACATCGCGCAGACGATGCACGAAGAAACACGAAACCTTTTTTCCGTCGTCCCGGGTAAACATACCACTCTCTTTGGCACGTAATCGAGCCCCCTTTTCCCCTCGCTGTTGCTCTCCCGATGCCGCTCCATCCAGACTCCTTCTCCATGGGAGCGCTCCCTCCCCCTCCCCCTCGCTCGAGCGGTGAGAGACTGTTTTTCATCTGGAACCGACCAGCCCCCTCATTCAGCGGCCCCCCTCCCCCCCTCTACCTACCCCTAGCCACATTTCCTGAACAGACTGCGGCTCATACACAAGCGTCATTAGAGCGCGCGAAAACAATCTCGTAATCCAAAAACGTCCGACCGACCGTCCGAGCAGCCTACTACCCCCAGTGATGAGCCTGCTGCTGTACGGTCTACAGTGCCGAGGGTAAAAGAACGAAAATCATCCATACTGAGCCGACAACTAACCAAGCCGTACCGTTCCCTACCCCGCGTTCCGCCTCGCCCTCACTGTCTCCCCTTCCGAACGCTGGTACGTTCCCTGAGTGGCGTAGGAGCCCTTACCCGGATTCTCGTTGAGTCAGCCCTTTGTCTTCGAGCCCTGTCTTCTCCTGAATCTACCAGTCATTTTCTGTCATCCCCCCGCTGTGTACACTTTTCCTGTCGCCCCCCCCCCTTCAGCAAGAAGAGCGGGTGGGCACCGGAGCGCACGAAGAATTCACAATAAGCCAAAACAACCAGTGTCTACCACAAAAACATGAACACGGACGTTGTCAAGCGGACGAGTGGGCGAAACAGCGAGCCGGAGAGCAACCTAAGCAGACAGATAAAATTCAAGCTCGAGTGCCTTTGGGGAATGATAGCGAATACAAAACATTCGATTTTTCCGTGAAGACCCTGCAGAGTCTCGCCAGGATGGAGATCACGAAGATCCCGTATCACGAGTTCCCCGTTGATCGCATGCAATCGGGCCAATCGTGGAACTTCATGGCATAACCTGATCCCGGTTCCATTTCTAAGCCCAGGAAGCGCTGGGTACGCGTTCGCTATGAAGCCCAACCCACGTGATCCTACGCGTTCCTATCGACATCTCGTCAAGATTTCTTTTTTTCCAGCTATCGTCCGGGGAAAAGTTGAAACTTGTAAGAATGTGTTACGTCGTCGCGACTGTAACGAGGTTACTTTTCCCTTTATCTGATTTCGCCCCGCTCACTTCGGCGGCAGCCGCTGCTGCCGCTTCTTGTGGGTCTCGCGGATCGACGGCGTTGGGAAGATGTTTTAATTAATTGCTCATCATATTTGCCCCGTCGGAAGCGAAGCTTCTTCTCGCCTGTCTGTTCAGCTACTGAGATGTCAAGGAGAGCCCGATACGTCACTCTCCCACCTCACTTTGTGTTGGTCGCTCGAGTTCGATGAATTCCACTCGAAATCGAACGTCTCATGCGTCCGAGCACAAATATTGGACAGCGTCGATTAATGGTTACGTTTGAGCCTCGTTCTCGGACGGAGGGAGTTTTAATGGATCCAAACTTCGAATGAGCGAGACGAATGTGATCGACCGCGAGGTGGGGACCATCCGCACAGAATGCTCCGATATCTTCTCCTCTGGTAGTTCTTGGGCAGAGTGGAGTTTGAGGAGTCTGAGAAGTAAGTGAGTGTGGCTGCGATTCCGCCCGAATACACAACGACGCTCCGTTCATTGTCACCGCTGCCGTCGATGTCGTCTTCTTTCGTTTCGTTCGGAGACGACTCCTTTGGCTGCTGCTGCTGCCGCCGCCGCTCCTCTTAATAAGACGAACACTTTTTCCGCATGGACAGCTAATTTTTTCTTCATTTTATCCTCCCGTCGCGCGGTGTCGCGCTCGCCGCCAGCAGTGCGAGCGGATGAGCGCCACCAACACCATCGGAAGCGATCGACAGTGTTTCTGTGAAGGAGGCGCGCTTGACTTTCCTTACCGGCTAATCTAGCGAGGGAGCGACTACTACGGTTCCTATTGGACCAGCACCGCGGACTCACTCAGAACGGGACAGCGTCAGAGTTCTTCGATCGCCGCCCACCCAGAGCGTGGTCGAGAACACTCGTGGAAGGCGCCGAGGAATCCCTCGGTTCCCGTAAATTTTTCCGAATGCGCAGCGGTCAAAACGCTGAGCATCGATTCCTAATTCCCAGCGATGCTCTAGCAACGAAACCATATATTACTCATCATGTCCCGTTTGGCTGGAAAACAACCTGCACAACCGAAAGAGGATTGAGAATATCGTCCGGAACCCGTTGTGTCGCCGTTTTGTCTCGTTTGCATTGCTTCTCGCAGTGATTCTCGGCGTCGACGGCGGCGGGGTAACTTCGACAGCAGCCGCAGAGAATTAGGGAACAACTCGCGAAAGGAGAGATCCTCCGGCGAGCCTCGAGAAAAAGGGGCAAACAGCATCGGAATTGTTCTTGTTTCCTCTCGCCTGCTTTGCATACTAATCCAGGCGGGGCGAGGGAAACGAAAAGACGGCGCGGGAGAAATCGGATGTTGTCAATGTTTAGTTCAAAACTCTCGCTCGCCGGCTTTGCCTCCCCCAATGGCGCGATCCTCGCACTTCTTCGTCCTCCGTACTCCTTCTCCGATCTCGTCTACCGGGAACTCGCTAACATAGCCCCGGAAGGCATGTCTGACCGATCTTTCCCATTCGGATCCTTAAGCTCTCCTCCTCTCTTCTTCCGCAGTGTCGGTCGCGTTCTCCGTTCGCACGACTCCAAGTCGGAATTCGCTCCGTCACAACGAGGTAAAATTGTCCGGGACTCCGCCACGGGACCATCATCGATTTACAAAATCGAAGCGAATGCGAGATATTTCCCCTACCTCCGGTTTACGCTCGATTTACCTATGGAGAACGCTTCCATCTCGCGAACTCGGGTTCCGGTGCGAAAAGAGCACCGCGATTCGATTGGGGGCGATCAGAGATCTCATCGAGATGATTGAGAATACTACAATTGGTGCCATGTCGCTAGAAATGCGGGGGGTCCGACCCCGGGCACGTCTCCTCAATTAACGCCGAGGAAATCAGCAGGTTCCAGGTTAGGGAGAGCAGGAAACAGGAGCAGACCGAGCACGACGTGGGATAAACGAGTATCGGATAGAATGCTGGCCGCGGGAAGGGGAGCAAGGTGATGAAAATTAGAAAAAGGATTTGGATCGCTGTTGTCGCTGCTAAGAAGGCTGACGCGCTTGCGGCTTTCGATGCTGGTGGCGCTGCTAAGGGGATTTGGCACGGTCTCAGGATGTCGGATCCGCGGAGCCACCGACTAAGCAAGCGAGCGAGCGAGCATCAGGCAGACGCAACAACAAGAACTTTTGTGTGACTGCTGCCTGCCCTTGTTGGGTTCAAGCGGAAGAGCAACTTTCGAGAGGGCTGTGTGATTCTAATCGTGTTTGGAAGCGAACGTGCCTCAGGGCTGGCTCATTTTCGTCTCCGTTCGTCTGTCGTTCGCTTTCTGTCCGTCAGTCGGTCCCTTCGCCTGCCTGCCTTCCCCTCCGTCTATCCAGATATCCGCATTGGTCGGTCGGTGGGTCTGTTTGTCGGTCGGTCGGTCGGTCGGTCGGTCAGACGGTCTGTCCTTCGGTAGTTCGATTCGTCCGCTCACCCGAGAGATGGATCACCGACAGTGGTCACAAAACCAAGTTAAATATCTCCCCTCCACCTCGACCCCTTCGCATCATTCGCTGTTTGGATGATGATAGCAAGCCTCCGAAGCCCGTCGTTGTGTTCGGAGTAGCCGAGCATAGGCTGAGTGGCTTTTCATTCGATTTGTACTTGA